CTGTATACTATGTAAGAGAAATTGCTAAAATTAGTCCCAGGTGGTCGTGTTCTAAATATAGAGATCGGCCTGCTAACAGTAGCGAGCCCCGCTGAAACACAGCGTCAGCGGACCTTGTCTGTAGTCTGGAAGGTCATGGCCGAGGAAGGTCTGTCTGTCCATTCTGATATGTAAGCGCGTTGCTATGTGGAGTTTGCCCTGTAAACGCATGTAACAAATTCAAAATCCTACGGCCAAAGTCAAATAAGTTCGGTAATGAACGGTGAATAGAAAAAAGGGGCATGGGAAGGTGAAAGCGGAAGAATCTTCACGCTGCAGCGAGCATCTTAACAGTCGAACGGCAGACGCGCGCATGTAACGACTAAAATCGCCGGCCGCGACCGTGCGCAGAGAGAGAGAGAGGGGCGAGAGAGAGAGATAGAGAGAGTTAGTGAAAGAGAGAAGAGAGAGCAAGAGAGAGAGAGAGAGAGAGAGCGAGGAGAGAAAGAGAGATGGAGAGAGAGAGAGAGAGAGAGAGAGAGAGAGAGCGACGAGACGAGGGAGAGACGAGTACGGAGAGAGAGGATCGAGAGAGAGAGAGAGAGAGAGAGAGAGTTAGTGAGAGAGAGAGAGAGAGAGAGAGAGAGGAGAGAGAGTTGAGTAAGAGAGAGTTACGTTGGATGAGATAGAGAGAGGAGAGAGATGAGAGAGAGAGAGAGAGAGAGAGAGAGAGAGAGAGAGAGAGAGAGGAGAGCGAGAGCGAGAGGCGGAGCGAGAGCGAGAGGCGAGAGAAGAGAGAGAGAGAGAGAGAGAAGAGAGAGAGAGAGAGAGAGGGTGCTGACGTGGGGTGGGGGTGCGCGTGTAATCACGAACATTGGCCTGGTAGAACCGCACCAGCACCTATTCTGCTAATCATAGCTCTAGCTCAGTAACTGTAGGGCATCACGCTCTGCTGCTGGTGGCTGCTGGTGTGGCGGCATGTGTTTGATACCCCAGAACGGAGAGAAACAAGTGTAAAAATCAATGTCTACGTTTGCTGGTGGGGCGATGTGTTTTGAATAACGCCCAGATCGGAGAGATAACAAGTGTTAAAATCAATGGTTACTAACTGTTAAATCAAGGTTGCTAATGAGCTCGTGGTCATGAAAGCCACCGGCGCCACACGCCGGCTAAGCTGATTCACTGATTATACTGCTGCTAACACACCCTCATCGCAGATAGATGAATGGATGCAATGGATGTGTGCGGTGGTGGGGGAGGGGGTGGAGGGAGTGTGGGGTGGGTATTGTGGACGCCATGGATGGATGGTATGGATAGATCGGATATCATATGTGGGGTAGGTGATGAGAGGGCAGGAGGGTGAGTGGGTGGCAGGGAGAGTGAGTGGGTGGGTATCTTGGACGCATGGATGGATAGATGGATATGTGGGTAGGGCTGCGATGAGATGCAAGGAGGGTGAGTGCATCGGGTGGGCTGAATGGACATAACAGATTGCAGAAACAGCAGCACATATGCATAAATTACAATCAAACAGATTTGGTAGATAGCCACCTCTGTAGAACAGACACTAGTCCACTTCTGACGTTTCCCTCGAGTAACAGTTACTACGTGCTTGACTTTACTAAGAATAAGATTGAGATTAACATGTCATCACGAAAATAAAAACAAAAACAAAATTATATAATAAATTAACAAAACAAACAAACAAAAATTAAAAATATAAAGTATAAAAACACTGGATTAAAAAACAAAATTTAATATAAACAAATTTAGCTGTTAGTCGCTTTTGTTATCGTATGTACATGGTTGGTGGTGTCTCTATGTTTGTTATTCACTCTTGTATCGTATGTACATGGTTGGTGGTGTCTCCAATGTGTTATTCATACTTGGTTATCGTATGTACACTGGTGTGGTGGCTGTCTCTATGTTGTTATTCACTCTTGGTCTCCGCTACGTACATGGTTTGGTGTGTCTGCTTATGTGTTTCACTGCTTGGTGCGTATGTACATGTTGGTGGTCGTCTTCTATGTTGTTATTCACTGGCTTGTATCGTATGTACATGGTTGGTTGCGTCTCTAGATGTGTTATTCCCTGCTGGTATCGTATGTACACTGGTTGGTGTGTCTTATGTTGTTATTCAGCTCTTGGTACGTAATGTACAAGCATGGTGGTGGTGGCGTCTCTATGTGTTATTCACCTCGTTGGTATCGTATGTACAGATGGTTGGTGGTGTCTCTATGTTTGTTATTCATCTT